AAGATCCAGTGTGTACCAGTAACGGAACAACATACGACAACAAATGTCTGTACGAGTTGAGCTACTGCAGAGGACTGGACAACAATACTGTTTATCACCCAGGGAGCTGTGAGGGTAAGTGAAGGACCCCTTAGCAACAGTTGTTAGACTGTGAAACCTTATCTGTTTCTTGTCAAAGTAAACACACTGGATAGGCCTTTAAAACTGGTTAGCAGAAACTGGAAACTGCCGGACTTCTGAATCTTTTACCTCAAAATGAGCACGGCTAGTGATTGGGTATGGCCTCTTTCACGTGCAATTCTTAAAATACTGTAGTGGAACTGTGACGAATGTTGTCTGAGTGATTAATGTAACGAAAAGTGATGACTGCTGGGCTGCCCTACTTCGCAAGTACATTTCACCAAACTCTGTCCTTTCAGCAACCAAGGCCTCTCCTTGAACAATCCACAAGTCAAGGGTTACACAGTCACACAAAAATGTCACATAAATATTGATAATTGCAGTTAGCTGCGACGCTCCGTTCAGCCAAAGTTTCCACTGCATATGATAGGATTGTGGCGGGCTTTCTTTACAAGTTTTGGGTAATATTCTATTTCTTAATGAATTAACAGGTTTTCCCATCGTGCATGGTCGTGAAGAACTTCTTCGTGTTCCCAAATGGTCTGATTCAAGCTGCAAGACAGTGGTATTCCCACCATACAGGTTTTATCCGGATAAGCAAGTTCATGTCCAAATAACTCTGAATCACATGAACTTGAATGACACCGTTACAGTTCACGATGCAATTACATCATGGACGGAGAATGTCAATGTTCACAATTTCACAGTCTGCGCCATGCAATCTGGGAGGAATGGAAACAACTTCAACCCATTTGCGACTTTGGATTGGATTGCGTATCAAGGAGCACCACGAGAAGGACTGACGGGAATGATCAAGATGCAGAAATGGTGGTCTGGAACAAATTGCGCGGATGTGAATTTTCCAAAGGTAAGTCTACAAAGCCCAAATGTGAAAAACTCCTGCTGCGGTCATGTAGGTTGAAGCACCATGTTCTTGAAGTCTGCGCAAGTTATTTTGTATACGAAAGCACTTCATTGCAAGCTAACTTCTCGTTTGTTTTTAGTTTTGTTGTTTTTTTAATGCCTTTTGAAAATTTAAAACATCATTGTTCGTATAAAACAGGTAACCGGTTTTCTTATAGACAATTCACAAAGAAAAATCAGGTGAGCTTAAATTTCCAAATTATACAACGTATTTAAAGTCGCTTTGATCGATTACACTCACCAGGTATTTCGTCATTCATTTCTCCATTTTCTAATGCAGGACAGGTTTAAGAGGGCGCCACTAGTGCTCGTGGCATCCGAACATTTAAGGACTGGTAAGGAGTATGATGCCGCGCTGATCTGGACAGAGGACGTAACCAAGGACTCATTTAAAGTCTGCCTTCGAGAATTGCAAAACTTTGATGGAAAACATCAAGATATCAATGTGGTAAGCGATCGAATATTCTATTCCTAAAATCCGTTGAGGTTAACAACTTCATGAAATAAAAAATTGGTTAGGAAAGCTTTGGTCCTTTCTTCTTTCTCGGTCGTCCAAAAGGCTTCCTAATGAAAAAGAAACGAAACGAAGATTTGCACATCCTAGCTGATATTGTTCACCTTGCTGAGAAGTTCTGTTCTGGAATCTTATCGTAACTGTAGGCCTAAGAAAGTAGTAGAAAACAGCGAAAATGTTATGTTCACAATTTGTGAGGATTAGTGTTTATTACTTTAAGTAGGTATTGAAAAAAATACTTTAGTCATGATTTGTTAACTTTGATATCTTCAGAACTGGTTGGCGTTTTCCAAACTGCACAAACCATTGTTCGCTGAACATGGTTCTGTCAACTTTCCGAATACAAATCCACCAACAGATGAAAATAACAACGCTTACTGTGAGGTAAGAAGACAACTGCACTTATAATAATAATAATAATAATAATAGATTTGTATAGCGCCATATCCACGGCTCATGGCGCTTTACAGTAAAAAATGTTATTAAAAATAAAATTTACATTAAAAATTTACATCAGTGATAAAAAATT